TCTACAGTTTGGCAACAGCCACTGAAAAGGTTCTCTACCATATCCTCACCAACTGTATCTGTGAGGATGACTGAATGTTGGAGTCTTTCTTATTTTGAGCAGCACACACACACAAAGTTCTAAGAGGAGTATATATTCTAAACATATCAGATCCTGCCTAATTTTGGAAGTTGATTTGTACTTGAATGAGAAACCAAAAAGGAATACTAGTGCTGTGACCTATGGTAGATTTCAGAGAAAAGAACTGTCCAAACCACCGCTAAGTGTTCCTTTTGAAAAATCCATGGGGTCACATAAGTCCACAAGCGACTTGAAGGCAAATTCTGTTATACATAGAGACAATGTATCACATGGCTCCATCTGTAGTATTAGTCATATGTAATAACATCATCTTGTGGACTTCCCTCTCTTTGGACCTCTTTTAAACACCAAATGAACACCTTGCTCTTCATAGAAGTTCTTAGCACTAGGAATAACGGTGTAGCTTAGTGTATACCATTGTAAATTATGCAGTAATTACGCAACATCACTCGGGAGCCCCTTAATGTATACAATATAATAATTAGAAATACTACAACTTTAGATTCAGTTTGGTTATTTGGAGTGCTGATTCAGAAAATTGCATTGGATAGACCACATCAGTTCTAGTTTCTATCCAGTAGTCACCATCTGGTCGCCCACAGAAAACCATATTTAATAAGCCTCGGCACTATAAGAGGGTTTCGTGAGACCAGTCACTCTTATCGTAATGGTGTAGTAACAGTAAGGCCCTGGACCATATTTTAGTTCTTACGGACCACTGGTGGTCCATGGACCATAGGTTGGGAACCACTGCTATATGCACTGTTTAGTGTGGTATTAGGTTGTATTGTTTATTATGATTTTTATTATAGAATGTGGTTGGGTTTAAAATACTATTTATTAAGTTGTGTCTGTATGTATGTACTTGTTTGCATTGAGTATTCGCCTTTTATGTTGTCAGTCACTTCAAATCCCATACTGGAAAATGGGGCAGGATATAAAGATTTTTTATTATTTTTATTATTTTAAATGCTTATTTATGTTTTATTTTATAGCTGGTTTTATTTGTCATATATACTGTTTGATGTGTACAGTTTTAATATGTTGTGAGCCGCTTTGGGTCCCGTTTAGGGAGAAAAGAGGGATATAAATAAAGATTTATTATTTTTGTTGTTATCATTATTCATATTATATGTATATATAATATATTCTTAGCATATCACAATAATAATAATATAATGTAATATAATACAATAATAATAATAATAATAATAATAATAATAATAATAATACAACATAATTACGGTATATATAATATAGTATTGTCATATAATAATACTAACATATTAAATATAAGTGTGATTGATTTAGATCTACCATGACTATTTAATTACTTGCCTTTTTGGCTAGTTACTATACGTTTGTATTGATGTGTTTGTTTACTGCCAGATACTTCTTGTTCGCATTCCCAAATCATGTGCATAAACTGCCTTTTCTGTTGACATCCATGCCAGAACTGACTACTCCCCTTTTTATAATAGACTTCTGGCAGAACATACAAAATGTGTCAAACCAAATATTAGGAATTGATTTGGCTATAATAAAAGAAATTGTAGTCTTATAAAAAGAGAGGGAATGGGAAACTGAAGGGAAATAAAAGAAGAAATAATTCAGTGCACACAAGCGCTGATTGTTTTGGATGGAAAGACAAATCAAGGTAAATTGTTTCAGTATATGGTGGACCAAATGGAATTCGAGAGTATGAATGTAAAATTAAATGATTCAAAACGTAATGAAATTGAAGAAAGGTGGAATCCGAGTCAAGAATCTTATTTTGAAAAATTCTAGAGATCAGGCCATAAAAATAAGATACAAATGTAATATAATATGTAAATATATAAGGATCATCTCAAAAAGGATTAATATGTAAAAGAGAACAATCCTCGTGGTGTTGGTGAGAATTGTAAATTGTGTATGAGTCTTAAAATTGAATAATAATTTTAAAAAGATGTTTGTTTACTGTTATTTCATTTTTATTTCATTTAATCTTTTGTGCCGTGCCCCCCCCCCCAGGAGGAGATAGGGTGGATTATAAATAAGTTTTGTTATATTATTATTATTACTATTATTATTCTGATAATATATCAGGAATTGTGGGAGTTAAAGTCCAAAATACCTGGAACGCCCAAGTTGCCCCATGCCTGCTGTATATGCTATATATTTCATCACCATTGGCTATCTGAAGTTGTAATGTTTTAAATAATAATGGTTTGCTGTGAGTTTTCTGGGCTGTGTGGCCATGTTTCAGAGGCAGTCTTTCACCCACATCTATGGCAGGCATCCTCAGAGGTTGTGAGAACTGCTGAAAACTAGGCAAGTGGGGTTTATACATCTGTGGAATGTCCAGTGTGGGAGAAAGAACTCTTGTCTGTTTGAGGCAGGAGTGAATGTTGTAATTAGCCACCTAGATTAACATTGAATAGCCTTGTAGCTTCAAAGCCTGCCTGCTTCCTGCCTGGGGGAATCCTTTGTTGGGATGTGTTAGCTGGCCCTGATAGTTTCATGTCTGGAATTCTCCTGTTTTCAGACTGTTATTTATTTTCTGTCCTGATTTTAAAGTTTTAAAATACTGGTAGCCAGATTTTGTTCATTTTAATAGTTCCCTCCTTTCTGTTGAAATTGTCCACATGCTGGTGGATTTCAATGGCTTCTCTGTGTAGTTTGACATGGTGTCTGTTAGAATGGTCCAGCATTTCTATATTCTCAAATGATATCCTGTGTCTGGAGAGAAATGCCAGGAGAGATTGCTTCTGGAACATGGCCGTACAGCCCAGAAAACTCAGAGCATCCCAGTGATTCCGGCCATGAAAGACTTCAACAGCACAATAATAACAATAAACTTTATTTGTATTTCGCCACATCTCAGGTTTTTGGATTGTGAGCCTATTTGAGTCAGAGATAAAGTGGGATGTAAATAAAATACATAAAAGCTGGCACACTTTCTGATATATACAACACATAGAGAATAATTCATAAATATTTCATAATGAAATATTTCCCCTGACATCAAGTCCAGTCGTGTCCAACTCTGGGGGTGGGTACTCATCTACATTTCTTTGGAGAATAGCCATATTATCATACACAGTCGCTCCCCCTCAACGGTTTTTGTCCTCAGAGTATATTCCCCACCTGTATGAAGGTCTATATTTATGACCCCATTCCTTTAAGAGTTTCTCCCCCAAAATAATCTGCTCCATCCTTATCTCATCCTGATTTTAGTATTTTTAGTATCTTAGTTTTTATCTTGCACATTGTTATGTTATGTTATTTTATTTTACTGTGTATGATTTTGCTTTATCATCTTTGTACTCATATGTTGCATGTATTTTACTGTGTTGTTATTGGTTTTGGTTTTACTTTATTGTAATATGCTGTTGGGCTTGGCTTCATGTAAGCCGCCCCGAGTCCCAATTGGGGAGATGGTGGTGGGGTATTAAATAAAGTTTATTATTATTATTATTATTATTATCCATAGATACCTCCAATATCACGAGGCCAGCATGACTGTTACCTTCCTGCCAGAGCGGTACCTATTGATCTACTCACATTTGCATGTTTTTTAATGTTAGCAGAAGCTGGGGCTAACAGCGGGAGCTCAAACTGCTCCCTGGATTTGAACCTGCGACCTTTCGGTCAGCAATTTTGTAAATAAAGGGACATTTAGGAACAATTTTCCACTTTGACTATGTATGGAGACTTTAGGGGCATTCTGTATATCAGGCATGGGCCAACTTGGGCCCTCCAGGTGTTTTGTAGTCCAACTCCCACAATTCCTAACAGCCGAAACACCTGGAGGGCCCAAGTTGGCCCATGCCTGCTGTATATGCTACTAGCGTTCCCCTGCCACACATTGCTGTGGGCTAGTCTGGTGATCTGGAAAATACAGTAATGAGAAAATGTTGGTTTCTAATATATGTAATGTCTTTATGCTTGTGGGTTAAAAGTATTTCTTGTTTCTTTGTCAGTGTTGATGTGGAGATTGTCTGGTTTGCCTACTCTGGAACATGCAACATATAATTGTCCTTCTTTAGGGGTCCCTTTCAAATATTTGATACTGCATCTGTCATATACATATATGTGTTGTATGTGAATGGCTGGATGGCCCTTTGTCAGGAGGGCTTTGATTATGTTTTCTTGCCCTGGTGAAGGGAGTTGGACTGGATGGCTTTAAGGCAGCATTTCTCAACCTGGGAAGTCAAGACCCTGGGGGGGGGGGTCACCAGGGTGGTGTCAGAAGGATCACCAAAGACCACCAGTAAACATAGTATTTTCTATATTGTAATATACTGTACATATACTGTAATCCGCTTCGAGTCCCCTTGGGAAGATAGAGCGAAATATGTGGGAAGTTTGCCCCAATTCTGTCATTGGAGGGGTTCAGAATGCTCTTTGATTGTACGTGAACTATAAATCCCAGTAACTACAACTCCCAAAAGTCAAGGTCTATTTCCCCCAAACTCCATCTGTGTTCATATTTGGGCATATGGAATATTTGTGCCAACTTTGGTCCAGTTCCCTCATTGTTTGAGTTCACAATGCTCCCTGGATGGAGGCGAACTACAACTCCCAAACTCAAAGTCAGTGCCCACCAAACCCTTCCAGTGTTTTCTGTCCTAGGAGTCTTGTGTTCCAGGTTTGGTTCAATTCCATCGTTGGTGGAGTTCGGAATGCTGTTTGATTTTAAGTAAACTGTAAATCCCAGCAACTACAACTCCCAAATGACAAAATCATAATTTTTTGAGTGATGGTCACTCCTTGTGTTGTGAGACGTTTTGTTGCCAAATTTGGTGTGATTTCGTTCATTGGTTTATTTTGTTTTTCAGGTACTCATTACGCACAGAGCATTTTATATAGATACATACATGTCATCACCATAGGCTACCACACAGCTATAGCCACAGACAAGCCCTCTTCTCTACCTGGATGAGCCCCTGCTGGAGCAGAGCCGTGTGGACGCAACCAGGGACGTCCCCTCTCAGCACCAGCGAGCCATTCGCATTGCTCAGTCGCCAAGTTCCCCTCAAGCTGGTCGCCCACAGCGGGCTCCTGGAGGCCTTGCCATCCCTCCTCCACAGCAAGGCCACGCAGAGGAGCAGCAGCCAAAGCCGCCCCTCAGCGGGGAGAACCCTTCCCGGCATCCTGGCCCTCGAGGAGGTGAGATCAAAGTCCCATTTGAAGCGTGAGGAGAAGGAGAAACTCCCACAGAACTGCTTCCTGGTTTTCCCTGTCAGGCAGCCAGCTGAGCCTTCATTGGATAGATCCACGCATGCGCACAGGACGGCTGCCTTCTTTTCGCTCCGGGCTCCCTCCATCACACTCAATTGTTTACGCCGCCATTTTGCCACCGCTCACTGCCAAGGGTCACGTGACTCCCAGGTGCTGAGGTTTGCAGTTTAGGGCGGGGCATTTAGAATCCCAGAATTCCACAGAATGCTGCCCTGACTTATATCATAGAATCATAGAATCAAAGAGTTGGAAGAGACCTCATGGGCCATCCAGTCCACCCACCTGCCAAGAAGCAGGAATATTGCATTCAAAGCACCCCTGACAGATGGCCATCCAGCCTCTGTTTAAAATAGAATGTTATAGAATTCCAGTATGCTGATGATAACGTAGTTTATGCGCATTCATAAGAAGACCTACAAGCCACTTTAAACACCTTTGCAGAAGCATACAAGAAGCTCGGACTGTCATTGAACATAGATAAAACCAAAGTGCTCTTCCTGCAGTCACCAGCCAATCCCTCTGCAATGCCAGAAATAAAGCTTAATAGTGTAACATTAGAAAATGTTACGATTTTTGCTACCTTGGCAGCCACCTCTCCACAAAAGTCAACATTGATACACAAATACAGCACCGCCTGAGCTCTGCGAGTGCAGCATTTCCCCGAATTAAGCAGAGAGGATTGGGGCATCTGTAGGAAGACCAAGTTGCTGGTTTACAAAACTATTTTCCTCTCAACCCTGCTACACACCTGCGAAATGTGGACTGTGTACAGATGTCACACTCAACTCCTAGAATTATTCCATCAGCATTACCTCTGAAAAATCTTGCAAATCTCTTGGGAAGACAGGCGGGCAAATATTAGCATGCTGGAAGAAGCAAAGACCACCAGCATCGAAGTGATGCTCGTACGGCATCAATTCCGCTGGACTGGTGACGTTATCCAAATGCCCAATCATTGTCTCCCAAAGCAGTTACTATACTCCAAATTCATGAATGGAAAACGGAATGTTGGTGAACAGGAAAAGAGATTTAAAGATGGGCTTAAAGCAAACCTTAAAAACTCTGGCAAACTCTTCCAAAGAAGGAGTGTCCACCACACTCCGGGGCAGAGAGTTCCACTGCTGAACGGCTCTCACAGTCAGGAAGTTCTTCCTCGTGTTCAGATGGAATCTCCTCTCTTGTAGTTTGAAGCCATTGTTCCGCGTCCTAGTCTCCAGGGAAGCAGAAAACAAGCTTGCTCCCTCCTCCCTGTGGCTTCCTCTCACATATTTATACATGGCTATCATATCCCCTCTCAGCCTTCTCTTCTTCAGGCTAAACATGCCCAGCTCCTTAAGCCGCTCCTCATAGGGCTTGTTCTCCAGACCTTTTATCATTTTAGTCGCTCTCCTCTGGACACATTCCAGCTTGTCAATATCTCTCTTGAATTGTGGTGCCCAGAATTGGACACAATATTCCAGGTGCGGTCTAACCAGAGCAGAATAGAGGGGTAGCATTCCTTCCCTAGATCTAGACACTATGCTCCTATTGATGCAGGCCAAAATCCCATTGGCTTTTTTTGCCGCCACATCACATTGTTGGCTCATGTTTAACTTGTTGTCCACGAGGACTCCAAAGATCTCTTTCACACGTACTGCTCTCGAGCCAGGCATCCTCCATTCTGTATCTTTGCATTTCGTTTTTCCTGTCAAAGTAGAGTATCTTGCATTTGTCACTGTTGAACTTCATTTTGTTAGTTTTGGCCCATCTCTCTAATCTGTCAAGATCATTTTGAATCCTGCTCCTGTCCTCTGGAGTATTGGCTATCCCTCCCAATTTGGTGTCGTCTGCAAAATTGATGATCCTGCCTTCTAGCCCTTCATCTAAGTCATTAATAAAGATGTTGAACAGGACCGGGCCCAGGACGGAACCCTGCAGCACTCCGCTCATCACTTCTTTCCAGGATGAAGAGGAAGCATTGGTGAGCACCCTCTGGGTTCGTCCATTTAACCAATTACAGATCCACCTCACCGTAGTTTTGCCTAGCCCACATTGGACTAGTTTCCTTGCCAGAAGGTCATGGGGGACCTTGTCGAAGGCCTTACTGAAATCCACACACACACTCCCAAAGTGACCCATTTAAAGTAGAATCAGGTGTCAAACAGGGATGTGTTATTGCCCCAACTCTATTCTCCATCTTCATCGCTATGATACTTCACCTTGTTGACAGGAAGCTTCCCACTGGAGTGGAAATCATCTATCGGACAGATGGCAAGCTGTTTAACCTCAGTAGACTGCAAGCCAAAACCAAGGTCACAACAACATCTGTTATAGAATTCCAGTATGCTGATGACAATGTCGTCTGTGCGCATTCAGAAGAAGATCTACAAGCCACTCTAAACACCTTTGCAGAAGCATACGAGAAGCTCGGACTGTCATTGAACATAGAGAAAACCAAAGTGCTTTTCCAGCAGGCACCAGCCAACCCCTCTCCAATGCCAGTGATACAGCTTAATGGTGTAACATTAGTAAATGTTGACCATTTCCGCTACCTTGGCAGCCACCTCTCCATCAAAATCAACATCAACACTGAAATGCAACACTGCCTGAGCTCTGCAAGTGCAGCATTTTTCCGAATGAAGCAGAGAGTGTTTGAGGACCGGGACATCCGTAGGGATACCAAGGTGCTTGTCTATAAAGCTATTGTCCTCCCAACCCTGCTATATGCCTGCGAAACATGGACTGTCTACAGACATCACATGCAACTCCTGGAACGATTCCATCAGCGCTGCCTCCGGAAAATCCTGCAAATCTCCTGGGAAGACAAGCGGACAAACGTCAGCATGCTGGAAGAAGCAAAGACCACCAGCATTGAAGCAATGGTCCTCCGCCATCAACTCCGCTGGACCACATTGTCCGGATGCCTGACCACCGTCTCCCAAAGCAGTTGCTCTACTCTGAACTCAAGAATGGAAAACAGAATGTTGGTGGACAGGAAAAGAGATTTAAAGATGGGCTCAAAGCCAACCTTAAAAACTCTGGCATAGACACTGAGAACTGGGAAGCCCTGGCCCTTGAGTGCTCCAGCTGGAGGTCAGCTGTGACCAGCAGTGCTGCAGAATTTGAAGAGGCACGAATGGAGGGTGAAAGAGAGAAACGTGCCAAGAGGAAGGCGTGTCAAGCCAACCCCGACTGGACCGCCTTCCACCTGGAAACCAATGCCCTCACTGTGGAAGAAGATGCAGATCAAGAATAGGGCTCCACAGCCACCTACAGACTCACAAGAATTCTGATCCTGGAAGACTATCCTACTCGGCCAACGAGGGATCACCTAAGCTATTATACTTATACTACATTTATACCCCACCCTTCTCACCCCAGTGGGGGACTCAGGGTGGCTTACAAACCATGGCATACAATGCATATTACACATATAATAATAAACATAACCTATGAACTTAAACAATTAACATATCAATTTAAACATACAATAATAAAACATGAGATAATAATTCGAATATAAATACAATAACAAGCTTAGAAGTAATTCAAATAGAAATGCAATAAAAAAGCTTAAAAGTAAACATACAATAATTCAAATATAAATACAAAAAACTACAAAAAAGAGCGTAAAGGAATCCCAACCAAAGTGGGCTATGTAACTACTGTTACATAGTAATGCACATACTACATACTATTAGACATGTACTAATAATATTAATAAACTAGCCGTCCCCTCCCACGCGTTGCTGTGGACCACATGGGAGTTCTGTGTGGGAGGTTTGGCCCAATTCTATCGTTGGTGGGGTTCAGAATGCTCTTTGATTGTAGGTGAACTATAAATCCCAGCAACTACAACTCCCAAATGACAAAATCATTTTTTTTAGTGAAGGACATACATTGGGTTGTTAGGTGTATTGTCCAAATTTGGTGTCAATTCGTCCAGTGGTTTTTGAGTTCTGTTAATCCCACAAACGAACATTACATTTTTATTTATATAGATGTAATACTTGCTTACATACTACTTAGGTGATCCCTCTTAGTCCGAGGATGATAGTCCTCCAAGATCGGTGTGGTGCTCATCTCCATTTCTAAAGCCAAAGAGCCGGCGTTGTCCATAGACACCTCCAAGGTCATGTGGCCCATGTATGGAGCGCCATTACCTTCCCACTGGAGCAGTACCTATTGATCTACTCACATTTGCATGTTTTCGAACTGTAGTCTACAAGCCTCATACTTACTCGGTGCCTGTTGATTTTTTACTTTCTAGATGTTTTAATTTTTTTAAAAAATCTGAAAAGATTGTACAAATAATGTTGTGTAATTTAGACATGCAGTCTTTGTATGGGGTATTTGTCTGAGGGTTAAAATGCCAGTGTTTTCCTTCAGTTCTGAGTTAAACTTAATAATATATATATTTAAAAAAACAACATGTTGGTGTGAAACTATTCAGCCGCACCAGATGTATTTGTACTTTTAATAAGACATCCCTGTTAAATGGGGGTGGGGGGGGGGGGCGGGTATTGTTCCAAACTTATTTTCACCTTCACCATTATGATACTTCATCCTGTCAATGGGAAGCTTCTCACCGGAGTGGAAATCATGTCAGACAGGTGGCAAGCTATTTAGTCTCAGCAGATAAAAGCCAAAACCAAGATCACAACAACATCTGTTATAGAATTCCAGTATGCTGATGATAACGTAGTCTATGCGCATTCATAAGAAGACCTACAAGCCACTTTAAACACCTTTGCAGAAGCATACAAGAAGCTCGGACTGTCATTGAACATAGATAAAACCAAAGTGCTCTTCCTGCAGTCACCAGCCAATCCCTCTGCAATGCCAGAAATAAAGCTTAATAGTGTAACATTAGAAAATGTTACCATTTTTGCTACCTTGGCAGCCACCTCTCCACAAAAGTCAACATTGATACTGAAATACAGCACCGCCTGAGCTCTGTGAGTGCAGCATTTCCCCAAATTAAGCAGAGAGTGTTTGAGGATTGGGGCATCTGTAGGAAGACCAAGTTGCTGGTTTACAAAACTATTTTCCTCTCAACCCTGCTAAACACCTGCGAAATGTGGACTGTGTACAGATGTCACACTCAACTCCTAGAATTATTCCATCAGCATTGCCTCTGAAAAATCTTGCAAATCTCTTGGGAAGACAGGCAGACAAATATCAGCATGCTGGAAGAAGCAAAGACCAC